AGTGAACGAAGTGCAGAAAGCGATTTCGCTGGAGTGATCACGAGCACTCCATCAGCCTCAACATCCTCCAGAGAAAAAAAACACCGGAGTCTTTCCATACACACATTCTGATCAGCTGCTGAGATAGGGACGCTATTTTTAGGAGTTATAGTCGCTGCTGTCCCGCCTAAAAGGAGATGCTAATCAATGGTTGATTAGGATTACAACCACTATTGTACGGGATGCTACTAGGGCCACCAATTTCACTTGCCCATACTTACCCTTCCAGATGGTGAGCGGCTCATGAATGTTCAGCCACACAATGGAAAGCTCTGTTGTTTGTTTCGGTCTTGCAATTATTCATTGTGTATTTTTTTGGGTACATTCAGCTCATATCCTAAGGAGCATACCCAAAGTTTTAGCACCTCTTGAAGTTCTAAAACAACCGGTCTAGAATTATCTTGTGGAGTCATGTGGTATCCACAAGTCCATTTTCCGTGGGCCCCCCAAAAGACAGAAAAGTGCAGGGCTGTCAGGGCTGTTGTCGTTCCTGCATACCAGCTGTGTGAGCCTTTCCGCCGCTGTTGTGCTGTCAGCTGGAAAAAAACACACGCCGGGAAGGACCCGTTGCTGCGTCAGGAACTCAAGCGACCATTGCATTGCGGGCGCCCACGAGGAACACTAATTGAAATCCGCCACTCGCCCCACTCGCCCCACTCGCCCTACTTGCCCTGGGCTAGCAAATTAATTGAAATCCGCCACTCGCCCCACTCGCCCCACTTGCCTTGGTAGGAAAATTAATTGACTTTGGCCACTCGCCCCACTCGCCCTACTCGACCCCACTCGCCCTACTCGCCCGACTCGCCCCACTCGCCCGACTCGCCCCACTCCCCCCACTCGACGCACTTGCTGCGGAGGTAAGCAGAGCAAGTGCAAGCTGGGCAAGCGGGGCAAACGGGGCAAGCGGGGCAAGCGGGGCAAGCGGGGCAAGCGGGGCAAGCGGGGCAAGCGGGGCAAGCGGGGCAAGTGGGGCAAGCGGGGCAAGCGTGGCAAGCGGGGCAAGGGGGCAAGCGGGGCACGCGATATACACTGACAGGCCCCATTTTGCGCAAATTGGAGCTCCCACCTGATAAACGATAATAGTCAAAATTACTTTCCTCGAGTGGCCCCGGTCAACTGGCATTCTAGTTGGCATATATATATTTATATATATTATATATATAATCATCCTGGAGTAGATAGAATCCAGTTTCGTAGGGGGCGTTATTTTTTTTGAAAAAACCCAGGGCTTTTTGACCCAATACTAGACTAAACTATATATTTGGACCCCCTAGATAGAATATTCCAAAATCTACTCCAGGATGCTCAAAATGTGTTTTTTTTCCTTTCCTTTTCAAAACCTTCCAATTTATTTTTTCCTTTCAAATTTTCCTTTTCAAACAGCTGCAAAAAATACCAAAAAATGAACTTTGGATGGTAAGATCGTAGACGTAGATTCCTACTTTTCTCATTTCCTTTTCCTTTCACACTTTTCCCTTCAAAAATCTGAAATTGTGAACTTTGGATGGTAAGATCGTGGATTCCAGCTTTTCTCATGCCATGTTCCTTTCAAAGTTTGATTCCTGCTTTTCTCATGTCCTTTTCCTGTCACAGTTTTCCATTCAAAAAACTTCAATTATGAACTTTGGATGGTAACATCGTGCATTACATTTTTTTTCCTGCCATTTTCCTTTCCAAGTTTCCATTTCAAACAGCTGCGAGAATGAACTTTGGATGGTAAGATCAGCTATTCCTACTTTTCTCATGCGCTCTTCCTTTCAAACACAGTTTTCCGAACTTTGGATGCTCGATCTTGGATTCCTACTTTTCTATACTTTTCTCATCTCCTTTTCCTTTCACAGTTTTCTTTTGAAAAACCTACAAGACTGAACTTCGGATGGTAAGATCGTGGATTCCTTCTTTTCTCAATCCATTTTCTTTTTGTTGTTTCTTTTCAAAAACCTGCAATTTCAACTTTGGATGGTAAGATCCTGGATTCCTACTTTTTTAATGCCATTTTCCTTTTAAAGTGTGCTTTCAAACAGCTCCAAGAATGAACTTTGGATGGGTAGATGTGGAGGAAGGGGCAGGGAGCACCACAAATACATGCTTAATTCCAAGCATCCTTTAAAAATTCAGTCTTTTCATGGTTCTAGAGGATATTCTATCTATAGTTTTGCCCAACTGTCCTAGCACAGCACAAGCACAAATGAACTTTGGATGGTCGATCTTGGATTCCTACTTTTCTATACTTTTCTCATCTCCTTTTCCTTTCACAGGTTTCTATTCAAAAACCTGCAAGACTGAATTTTGAATGGTAAGATCGTGGATTCCTTCTTTTCTCATCCCATTTTCTTTTTGTGGTTCCTTTTCCAACACCTGCAATTTCAACTTTGGATGGTAAGATCTTGGATTCCTACTTTTTAAATGCCATTTTCCTTTTAAAGTGTGCTTTCAAACAGCTCCAAGAATGAACTTTGGATGGGTAGATGTGGAGGAAGGGGCAGGAAACTACATGCTTCATTCCAAGCATCCTTAAAAAAATCAGTCTTTTCATGGTTCTAGAGGATATTCTATCTATAGTTTTGCCCAACTGTCCTAGTACAGCACTAGCACAAATGAACTTTGGATGGTCGATCTTGGATTCCTACTTTTCTATACTTTTCTCATCTCCTTTTCCTTTCACAGGTTTCTATTCAAAAACCTGCAAGACTGAATTTTGAATGGTAAGATCGTGGATTCCTTCTTTTCTCATCCCATTTTCTTTTTGTGGTTTCTTTTCAAACACCTGCAATTTCAACTTTGGATGGTAAGATCTTGGATTCCTACTTTTTAAATGCCATTTTCCTTTTAAAGTGTGCTTTCAAACAGCTCCAAGAATGAACTTTGGATGGGTAGATGTGGAGGAAGGGGCAGGGAACACCAGAAATACATGCTTAATTCCAAGCATCCTTTAAAAATTCAATCTTTTCATGGTTCTAGAGGATATTCTATCTATAGTTTTGCCCAACTGTCCTAGCACCGCACTAGCAAAAATGAACTTTGGATGGTCGATCTTGGATTCCTACTTTTCTATATTTTTCTCATCGCCTTTTCCTTTCACAGCGTTCTTTTCAAAAACCTGCAAGACTTAACTTTGAATGGTAAGATCGTGGGTTCCTTCTTTTATCATCCCATTTTCCTTTCGTTGCTTCTTTTCAAAAACCTGCAATTTCAACTTTGGTGGTAAGATCTTGGATTCCTACTTTTTAAATGCAATTTTCCTTTTAAAGTGTGCTTTCAAACAGCTCCAAGAATGAACTTTGGATGGGTAGATGTGGAGGAAGGGGCAGGGAGCACCAGAAATACATGCTCAATTCCAAGCATCCTTTAAAAAATTCAGTCTTTTCATGGTTCTAGAGGATATTCTATCTATAGTTTTGCCCAACTGTCCTAGCACAGCACTAGCACAAATGAACTTTGGATGGTCGATCTTGGATTCCTACTTTTCTATACTTTTCTATACTTTTCTCATCTCCTTTTCCTTTCACAGCTTTCTATTCAAAAACCTGCAAGACTGAACTTTAAATGGTAAGATCGTGGATTCCTTCTTTTCTCATCCCATTTTCTTTTTGTGGTTTCTTTTCAAAAACCTGCAATTTCATCTTTGGATGGTAAGATCTTGGATTCCTACTTTTTTAATGCCATTTTCCTTTTAAAGTTTTCTTTCAAACAGCTCCAAGAATGAACTTTGGATGGGTAGATGTGGAGGAAGGGGCAGGAAACACCACAAATACATGCTTAATTCCAAGTATCCTTTAAAAAATCAGTCTCTTCATGGTTCTAGCGGATATTCTATCTATAGTTTTGCCCAACTGTCCTAGCACAGCACTAGCACAAATGAACTTTGGATGGTCGATCTTGGATTCCTACTTTTCTGTACTTTTCTCATCTCCTTTTCCTTTCACGGCGTTCTATTCAAAAACCTGCAAGACTGAACTTTAAATGGTAAGATCGTGGATTCCTTCTTTTCTCATCCCATTTTCCTTTTGTTGCTTCTTTCAAAAACCTGCAATTTCAACTTTGGGTGGTAAGATCTTGGATTCCTACTTTTTTAATGCCATTTTCCTTTTAAAGTTTGCTTTCAAACAGCTCCAAGAATGAACTTTGGATGGGTAGATGTGGAGGAAGGGGCAGGGAACACCACAAATCCATGCTCAATTCCAAGCATCCTTTAAAAATTCAGTCTTTTCATTGTTCTAGAGGATATTCTATCTATAGTTTTGCCCAACTGTCCTAGCACAGCACTAGCAAAAATGAACTTTGGATGGTCGATCTTGGGTTCCTACTTTTCTATACTTTTCTCATCTCCTTTTCTTTTCACAGCTTTCGTTTCAAAAACCTGCAAGACTGAACTTTAAATGGTAAGATCGTGGGTTCCTTCTTTTCTCATCCCATTTTCCTTCCGTTGCTTCTTTTCAAGAACCTGCAATTTCAACTTTGGATGGTAAGATCTTGGATTCCTACTTTTTTACTGCTATTTTCCTTTTAAAGTGTGCTTTCAAACAGCTCCAAGAATGAACTTTTGATGGGTAGATGTGGAGGAAGGGGCAGGGAGCACCACAAATACATGCTTAATTCCAAGCATCCTTTAAAAATTCAGTTTTTTCATGGTTCTAGCGGATATTCTATCTATAGTTTTGCCCAACTGTCCTAGCACAGCACTAGCACAAATGAACTTTGGATGGTCGATCTTGGATTCCTACTTTTCTATACTTTTCTCACCTCCTTTTCCTTTCACAGCTTTCTATTCAAAAACCTGCAAGACTGAACTTTAAATGGTAAGATCGTGGACTC